CCGGGCTGGGGATTCGAACCCGCCACCTTAGGTGTACGTGGCTGGCGCCTTAGCCGGTTGAGCTATAGGCGCCGAGCCGGAAATGCAAATTCTTAAAGAATTATAATTATTGGGGTGGTACCTGTGGCTCAAAGGAGTAGGGTGCCCACCCTATATACCAGAGGTGGCGGGTTCAAACCCACCCCCAGGCCAAAACTGCAAAGACAAACAAACAAAAAGAGTTATAATTATTATTTCAATTCATTTAACTTTTTCACTGGACATAAAGTTTAAAAAATTATTCTTACTTTGCCTTTCAATTACCAGAAATTTTAGCCATCATTTAGTCACACATTAAATCTATTTTCACTGATTTTCCTGAAATTCACTATGATACTTGTAAATAGAAATGACTGTGAAAGTAACCGCTCTCAAAGTATTTACCATTTAATAGTGAAGGCAGACACACAACACGGAACTGTAATAAATGGAGGACCGGATTCTGAGCTAAGATAGATGTATAAGCAAAATGTTGTGGCCGTCCAAAAAAGAAAGAAAAATTATGACTAAAAATGAACACCAGAGAGATCCAAAAGGCTAAACAGAACTGGTAGCATTTGATCAGTGGCTTCAGGAACGAGTAGTAAAATAATTATGGAATAAAGGATTCCAGGCCGAGAGGAACCCGGAGTGAAGGAAGTGCGGGATACATTCAGGAATCATGAATCTAGTGCGGCTGGAACACAGGGCCGTGTGGTGACGAGTGACCCTGTAAAAGATGAACAAGCCTAAATATCAAACTAAATAGTTTAAATTTTATTCAGGAAATGAGTTAGAGTGTTGGGTTAGTGAACAATTTGGTCATTGCCTCTGGTTAATATCGTCATAGCCTACAATATAGGCACTTGGAATGAGTCAGTTTTGGAGTTGACGCATCTGAAGTCCTCCGGGAGGTGTAAATGCCGAGACCAGAAGTCAGGATAGCATCTGTGCAGCCATAAAATTGAAATTGGAAACGTACAGAAAGACATCGGTTTAAAAAGAAAACCATCACCATTACGGCAAGTATTAAAGAGAGTAATGGATGGGACATTGGCCAGCGTTGAATTAATAAAATTCAGCCTTAATTTTTAAAAGTGCTGGTTGCAGCAAAATGAAGCCATCCTTCTCTAATACCGTGAGATGGTAATTTTATCTCATTATGATTCATTTCAGATTTGAGCTCTTCCCAGCTTTAACCTATTTGGTTGGTTAAGAATGAAGCCATGGCTGCAAATAACATTGTCAGGAAGATCACCACCTGGCTCAAAATTGGTCACAGGAAGGGCATTGGTCCATTTTCACCCGCCTTCTGTGTTCTCAGCCTTAGTATTTCTAGGACTTGATGTTAATGAATCCTGGAATTAGGAAATTAAACAATAAATTAAATCAACCCAACAAACAGGTTCTGCATTCCGAGTTTTTGCTTCATGCTTGTGTATCTGCTTGAGGGTGGGACGGGTAGGAGTGCCTGCTTTTTGTGAAATGGGCAGATGAGAGATGTATGGATTGGGCTCTTCCTGCCATTGACTGCGTAACAAAGCTGTCGCTTCTCCAAGCAGTGCAGCACGTTGACAGGGTGCATTATATTGTGTACATTTCTTTTTTTTTTTTTTTTTTTTAATCCAGGACATTTGTAATCGAAGCACACTTGCCTGTTAAATGTGAGCTTTGCTGCACCACAGAGCCATTGCAATATTTGTCTTGATCTAGAAAATCAGTTTCTCTGCTAACACTGAAGATTTTTAACATGACCATGATCCTCTCAACTCCATTTTGCTTTGGACTCCTAACTTTGTTATCTGGGGTGGTCTTTTTAGAATTGGTGCATGGACGGCCCTATCTTACCCAAGGTACGTGCACATGTATCTAAAATTCTACAGGTAAGTAAATCCTTATTTTTCCATTTACATCACTTGGGGTTTTTTGGCTATTATTTAAATAATGTTCTAAGACATTAATATCATTGAACAGCCAAACTGTCCTTTAAGCAGCTGATGTTCAGAATTAAATGTAATCTACGATGCTGTTCTTCTTAAGCAAGGGGTACCAAGTTAATTTTACCCAACATTGTACTACATTAATTTCAACTATATTTTTTCTAATAATAGGACATTGTTTCTCATTTTTACTCCATGAGGAAAGATTGGGAATGTATAAATATTAATACAGTCAGAGATATAATTTATGCATATTTCAAAAATGTATCTTGGGAATGGAAATAATTTCATTCTATGAGATTATAGTAAATTACTGATAAAAGGAAAATATACAAAGATTAAATTTTTTTTTTTTTTGCAGAGATTTGAGACTACTAAAGCATTGGTGAAATCTCCAGGGCAATGCTAACACCCACATAATGCATTGACTATAGTGTTCAGGTTTTAACATATTGAGGGTACTTAAGTAAATGAAATAATTTAATCTATGATATCTACAAATATATGTCATGATAAAGTTGGTGAAAGTGAGTTTCTACTCTTATAACATTGTGACTTCCATAATCTTTCTATAATTTTTTCAGGGCATTCTATCACAGAAAAAGCCCTTAATCTGAGAATTAATGGAGCTCAATTTAGTGTTGATTTAGTAGGTAAACAACTTAACCTCACTGAAAACTTTGAAAATAGTGACTTAAAGTAACGCTCTCTAATTTCCCTTCCATCTTGAAATTCTGGGGTTTTCTTTCCTCTAACTGACCTCCATGTCAGGACAAGGTAGATAAACTTTTACTCATTTTATTTAGGGAAAATCAAGACAGTAAATTTTATTTATACAATATTGGGGAAAGGATCAAGTGTCCCACTTTTGATGCTAATTTAACTTTGCTAGATCTTATTGCCTCACCTGTGGTTTAAAAAGTCAATGAAAATTAGAACTGTTCTTTTGAAAGTGGAAATAAAATTGCATAGTCACTCATTATCTGTTTTAGGAGTTTTGCCTTGAAAAATAAATAGTCTCCAAGACTTAAGTAGAAGCCTGAGAATCAAAGATTCTGGATTTTATCCATGAGACTTACATTTTATCTTTGGCTAGTCAAAATCACAGCACTAGGTAGGGCTCCATCACGTTTTCTATGAAGTGATGAGATTTCCGATGTTTTTAACATAGTATAAATGTGTAAGGAAAAATGTGGTTATTTGCAAGGACTTTGCAAAATTAGTGGATGTTAGTGTTAATTGTAACTTCAGATTTCACGTGTATATGAATAGGGAAAAATCCAATGCCAGAGCATGTGTTAGACCTGTAATTAAATAACATCTCTGGTCTCAGAATGCCATACAGTGACATGCATATATTACTGAAGGCATAGTGGAAATATTTCCTTCTGAGATGCCTTTGATCTCAGTTTTATTATATATAAATGAGGAAGATTAAGTGATTAGTGAAGTTATTTTCTGGTCTAAATTGTCCAGGATTAGAATGAGTGACTCTCCTCTCCACATACACATTTTTGAAATCAACCAAATATTTGACTTAACTTTAATCTTCTAATATATTTTTTTCAAATAAGCATTTATCCGCTGACACAGAATACAAGGTCGGGGTCACCAGTCTTCTCTCTATGTGTTAGAGAGAAATTGCACAATCCTGCCAGCTTTCGTTTGGTGGGGACTGTGTGAAGGCAGGCCTTAGCAGATAGGCCTGAGACTGAGAAACGAGCCCACTACCAAAGGTTAAAGAAAGAATGCCACGACCAAGAAGACTATGGGGAATTTATTTGGGGGATATTATTATTTTTGGAGTTTCCGGGTTTCATTCTGATAAAATTTATTGTCTCTATCCAGTAAAAGGCTTCACATGTGAATGGAACGGAAGGTGACAGCTAGGTCTTTCTGAGACTCAGTATCTCAGGTAATAACGAAGCAGCGTTTTCTATGTGGTAATTACCAAGCGCCCTCTCATGTCTGAGCCGCTTCTCCGTCCTCTGTGCCAAATGTGCATCTCCACTCAGATACTTCATATTCACGTTTCCCTGATCAATGCTGTGTTCAAAGATGAACATATTAAAAGTACATTTTTTTCTTGTACTGCTTTAGCTGTTCTAAAACTGAAGTGAAAACAAGAAACAAAAAAACTTATTTTCTATTGTTTTTTATTAGCCAATATCTTACTTAGCTTTAGAAATCAATTTCAGAGATGCCTGAAAGATGCTTAAAAGATGTTTGTCTTAAAAGATGATGGCGGCTCTGTGCCTATAGCTCAACCGGCTAAGGCGCCAGCCACATACACCTAAGGTGGCGGGTTCGAATCCCCAGCCCAGACCCGCCAAACAACAATGACGGCTGCAACCAAAAAAATAGCCCGGCGTTGTGGCGGGCGCCTGTGGTCCCAGCTACTTGGGAGGCGGAGGCAGGAGACTCGCTTGAGCCCAGGAGTTGGAGGTTGCTGTGAGCTGTAATGCCACGGCACTCCGCCCACGGGGGACAGTTTGAGGCTCTGTCTCAAAAAAAAAAAAGAAAGAAAAAAGATGATGGCAAGAATTTCTGAGGACAAAGAGTGATGCAGAAATAATCCCTGGAAGCAAAAATGATAAAGGCAAATATATCAAATTTTTCTTTTGAAAAGAAATATGTAGAGGAAAGGACTGTGACTGCAGCAAATAAAATCTTTCGATCTGGGCTTTCCCACTTACTTACTCTACGTCTTATCAATTCTCTAAACTGAAGACAATGAAATTGTTTCCCCCACTGAAGTTCTCTTTTTAAAACAAATAGTCATTATTACCTGGCTTTAAAAATGCACCTTTTCTCCCATGGAAAACATTTTAAAGATTCTCCTTTAAAATTTTAATGAGTGATTAAAATAAAAATGTATTAGTGCAAATCATGGCTTCCTTTAAAACTATTTTTGAGGGTCTTTGAATCTTTGATATTGAGCAAAATTTACATCGGTATTCTCCTGTTTTAAATACTCAATAGAAAAAGATCGTAGAGTTTCCCAGTCACACCTGAGCAGTGAGGTAAATTGACAAAGATGGTAAGAGGTCCATCTTGGTAAGCGAGGCTCCACCCCACCTATTCCACAAGGCTTCCTGGGATGGTTTACAGGCAATTCCTGAAACACAAATCACAAAATCAAATGTTTTTTCTTTTAAAAACAACTTATGGTTTATGTTAAATGCTATTGTAGAAAATTTCCGAAGTGCAAAGTAAAAAGAAGGAAGTAAAACTCACCTACAATTCCACTAGCTAAAAGTAATCACAGGTAAAACTTTAGGGTTCCACCTTCCGGGTATATTCTCGTTCTCTCCCTTGTCTCTCTCTCTCTCTTAATTGTTCATAAACATTAACACATTTGATGATTTTTAAAACAGTTCATCTCTTTGGATTATACACTTCTCTCTACATTCTTTTCATGGGTGAATATATGTCTTGATAATCGCCTGTAAAACTAACAAATTGTAAAACTCATTTCATTCGAAACATTTTCAGTAACTAAGATTGCAAATGGTGGTTTGTGATCATTACAGGAAATGAAGTTTTTCCAGATGCAAAGGACACAAATGGCAAGGAACTGTTGCTGGCTCTCCTGAATACAGATTTTGATATCCAAAGATCTTCCAAACTGGGTGAGTTAAGAATAAAGTCAATCTTTATTTATTTAAACAAAACAAAACAGAATCTATTCTATCTTGAGACTTGCCTTTTCTAGATGTTAATTTTTATTAAATAAAATAACTACTCTTCTACATGCCACACTGAAGGCTTGTGGATTTTTCTTATTTCATATTCATGCTAAAATCTATAGAGTTATTAAAAAAAATTAAAAAGCTATTTTGTTCAATATGATGGTCCAAATGGGATTGGTACATCTGGCTAAAAAAGAGCTGCCTTTACTCCTATTTCCCTCTCATCTATGCACCTGTGTACTGGTACACTCAGTATTCTTTTAGTAAATATTTCAAGAATACTATGTTTTTATGTGTAGGTTTCTACTAGACATTTCTCAAATTAACTGCAGCTTTGTGGTAGTTAATTTAGCACCTTTTTCAATCAAATTATTCCAATTTGGGAAATGGAGTAGAAACCATGAATTGGTCAATTTAGGCTGTCCCAGTAGAGATTATTTTTCATTTGAAGAACAGGAGACTCTGACTTACACATATACATCACACTGTTCTCTCAACTGTGAAGGAGGTTTTGTCAGAAATTTAGCAAATCGGCGCTCCTGTGGCTCAAAGGAGTAGGGCGCCAGCCCATATGCCAGAGGTGGCGGGTTCAAATCCAGCTCTGGCCAAAAACTGCAAAAAAAATAAAAACCCAATAAAAATAAATGTTAATAAATATATATATTAAAAAAAAAGAATTTAGCAAATCTAACCTAAGAGAAAACATGAGAATACTACATACAGCAATGTGGTACGTGTTCATAAAGCATCCAATGCATTCTAAAAAATGTTCATATTATGGGACAAAACAAAATGCTATTTAAAAGAATTTAAAAATAACTTGATAAAAAACTCACAAATGCAGGGCCTTAACATTAGAAGTAAGACATTTTCACTGGAGAAAATACACAAAATTATAAAAACAATTTATACTCAGGGGGACCCCTGTGGCTCAGTGAGTAGGGTGCTGGCCCCATATACTGAAGGTGGTGGGTTTGAACCCGGCCCTGGCCAAATTGCACCAGCAACAACAACAACAACAAAAAAACAATTTATATTCAAATCATAAACCTGGAGAGTTAGTATTTGGAGAATTTCCTTCTTGATTGAGTAATATATAAAACTTGTGACCTGCTTTTATTTTCTTAATCTTGCTGTATAAGAATTTCCTCAGGTCAGTAAAAATATTTTAGTTTTGGATAATAGGCCATGTTAGAACTTTAGAAAACTTTGTGCTTATTGTTGGAAATTAGGTGTTTTCTCATGACAAAATTGATTGCATTTCTACTGAGGGCTTTATATTGAGAATGGCTGGGTTATCGCAAACCATATAGAAAAGATGTTTGCCTTTCCCCTGAGGCCCTAAATGTGTGTTCTGAAGTTAGTGAAATATTACTTACAGTGCATATATTTTCATATGATAAATGTGTCTTGCAGATATAGAACTGGCTAACAAATTGGAAGAACTTAACCAGGTGAGAATGTGAAATACTTAAATGATCAATTTTAATAACAATTATGCAGAAACTTCTTTTTGATATACTGCTTTAAAAAAATTATTGATACTTCCATGTAAAATGTTTCCTCCTGCTACAGAACTGGCAAAGTAATTCACAAGAAAAAAAAAAATCAAGTTAAACAGAAAAAACCAAAACCAAAAAAACCTGTGGCTGAAGTGATCATAGTACAGAATGTCTAGAAATCTGGATTCTAGTATTTAGCTCTCTAGTTACCTAACTCTGAAAACTTCGGCAAACTACAATGCTCTAGGCCTAAATTCTCATCTGTAACATGGGAGGCTATAAAAAGATGGGTGTTTTCTGATGTTACTACTTTTTCTAAAGAGTGGGAATCTCCTTTCCATGAACAAAGTGTCGGCAATCCTACCACATGAAACCGGTAGAGGGGAGGTGTTTGTGGAGCAGCCGGTGTGGAGAGTCCGAAGTGCTGCCCTCCCGGGAACCCTTTCTTCCCACTCCTTGATATGCTATGAGAAAAATTCTAAAATTTGAGAATCTTTGAATTAGACCATCTCTAAATTCCTTCAACTGCAACTACATGCAATTCCATTATTGTGCAAACTGTAGGATCATTTGGGAGGGAGAATTATATCCAGTATTTTCTTCTGTGGAGGGAGGACCCGGGAGTCATGCAGTTCAGGCTGTACCCTACTTAGGCAATTAGGGTGCTTGTTAAAGATTAAGAGGAGTACAACCCTGCATGGAAACACGGAAGTGTCCAGGAAAAGGCCTTCTCATTATAGGTGACATAAAATCGAGTCCAGCTACACAGGCTATATTTACAGGTACTCCATTAATTAACACCCAGAGTTGACTTCCTTTGCCTGTAACCTGTTTCTCCCTGGTCTCCCATCAAGTCATGTACTTTTTCTAGCTCGGCTTCAAATGCATGTTTCCTGTTTTTTCTATTTCTTTCATTCTTTTCTAACCTTTTCCCTCTTTTCTCCCTTTCTTGCATTCTTCCTTCATTCCTTTTTTCTTTCTTATTTTTATCTTTTATGTTCTTGAATCAAGAACAGCATAGTTGTTATTAAAGATTCATTAATTGTCATTTTTAAATTTTAACAGCTAGAAAAGCTGAAAGGACAGTTTGTGGGGGCAAAGGATGCTGAGCCGTCCTCTGCTATCGATGGTCTATTCTCTTCCCGTCCTAACAAGCGCGGTAAGGTTTTATTTCCAACTTTTAAAACTGATTTCCAAAAGATTATTTTTGCAATTATTTCAGAGAGGGAAGAAATTCAGTTGACATTTCCTATTCTTGTGGTCATCAAGACCAAGGCTCGTGGTTTTTAAAAAGATCCCAATAAAAGTGTCCCACATGAGTGTGTCCAAGCTTGGTCATGTTTACCGTGTCTCACTTTTCAGGTTTATTGTATAAACTCCGGTTTGCCCTTGCTATTTTGGCTCAAAGATTGAAGCTGGGAGGATCAAAAACAGAAATAATCAAGTTTTAAGTTAATTCAAAATTTTAAGGAATCTTTTTTTGATATACGGAGAAACCACATTTCTGTAACACTTGATCCAACAGTTCATTCAGAGCATGTAAGTTTGGAAAGTTACTCTTTTGATCACTCTAAATTTTCATAACTTTCCTAGAACCTTCTTGTTTCTTGCTGACATATGTTTTAGAAAATTATATTA